AAATTACCTTTTCATACAATATCACGACTCCTCAAGGTAGATAATGTTTGTGCTTTATGGGTAGAAAAAGCTTTCAGTGGTTAACTACTTGCCCAAAGAGTCCACATTGTAGGACTACCTATCTATGGCTTACATAGGCAACTCTAAGTTACCGTATCCCAAATGACACTTACTAATTCATTTTTAAAACCTTATTCTTCGTTGATCCCTAGGCCCAGTCAGTGGCATAACCATCTGCCCACATATCCAAATCAAAACTGCTTCCTCAGAGCCTCTATTAATTTTGTTTCTTAGTTTTGTTCATTCTGTCTCTTTGTTAGCTTAAATTGAGCCTATTTTTTTACCTTCCATTGTCTAATTTGTACATGTATTTGTTACTATTTTTTATTACAAAATATTAAAATTAGGGTACCTTGAAGCAGACCCTTTTTCATTTTGCTCTTTGTAGCATTTATATTAAGGGAAAAAAAGAAAAATACTCAATCCCAAGCGTTTTCTTTTAGTTATTTAGTCCATTCAATAAATACTTACTATGTACTAAATGTCAGGTTACTTGGAACACAGCATTATGGCCCCAGCTTAGTTAAAAAGATAGACATTAGATAAATAATTATATAAATACTTAAAATAATATTTTTTGTTTTTTTAATATTTAAAATAATATTAATTGATATAAGTAATTATTGGTTCTTAGGAACACTTTGTAGTCAGCTCCTACAGAGACTATTATTCTTTTATAGTCTACAGGTGCAAGTTGGGGAGATAGGGAAAAATCATAATAAGAAGGAAGAAAAACAACTTTAGAAGAATAATATGTCCCCATAGTTTTAAATATCACTGTGGATGTTCTTTTTTTACTCAGTTGAGGTCTATTGGTTCTGAACTTTCAATACTGCATGTAGATGAATTCCTTATTGAGGTAGAACCAATTTATAATGGAGCTTTGCTTGACTAAAAGGCGTTTTTGGAGACCCTCAGTTACAGGTTGAAATAATACACATTATTTCACATTTCTTTTTGTTTTAGTTCCTTACTGCTTGCTTCCTGTAACCTCTAAATTCCTTCTGTCATTTTCCTTTCATCTTTGCCAGTTCTGATCTGCATCTTTTTGTGATATCTGTTTTGTCTTATATTCTGCCACTTGTGCCTTCCCTACCCTTTGAATCTTCAATGCTTTTTTTTCTTTTTCACTTTTATCCAGAACTAGGAAAAAAGTAAAAAGGATTCCAGTTAAAATGACTAAAATTTACTTTCTAATATAGACATGTTTGTGTAAGTATATTCCAACTTTTGAGATCATGATATTCAATCTCTTCAGTTTTTTTTAACATACTAAGGTAGCACTGTATAAAAATGAAAGAGAATAAAAAACAATTCGGAGTTTTTTGATTAGCTGATCACTCGTTCCTTTTATCATCTGAGGTCAAAGTTTAGCTGCTTCCCATTGAATAAGGTGAATGACTATAGGTTCAGAAAGGAAAGACATGATATTGACTGATCTAGGGATAAATCAAGAAATGTGACATTTCATGCATAGGTCTTTCATTTAGAGTGCAAGGGTGTCAGTCAGAATATTCACAGTATAGGAAATCAATCGTAACTTGAGCCCATGGACATTTACTTCAGCAAAATTCTTACTAATTATCATGACTATGTCTAGTTAGACTGTTATAGGCATAATTTAGTCTTTGAAAGGTTGAGATTCTTTTGTATAATTATAAATCTCCTATTAATGATATATAATTTATAGTTTGTCAGCTGTATTTCATATAATATCAAATATTACTTTAAGTCTTTATTAAACCAGTAAAGCTTTATGTGTTACACATGCTGCTAGTAAATCTTAAAACCCTAACATTTTATATAAAAAATAAAAAGGCTGGTAAACTGTTTCAAATTGTCTTTTTTCTAAAAATAGGTTGTTTGTCCTATTTTTATGTTTTCTTAAGTAATACTGTAAGTAATGTACTCAGACTGAATTTTATTTTCTGAAATCCACTTTTTTGGGTGATTAGTCTTTAACTGGATATTAGACAATCCAACTCAGAAAAATATGTCATATTGGCACTTCCAGTGTTTTAACGTTGAAGATCTGGTCTCATTTTTCAGTGCTCTATATCAGGGATGTGCACAGTAAGAACCTATGGTGCACATCCATCCTGCCATTCAAGTTTTATTGGAGTACAACCACACCTATTCATTTACATATTTTTGGATGCTTTTATATTACAAAGGCAGCATTTAGTAGCTGCAACAAAGAATATACAGCAATGTCTAAAATACCATATGACCCCTTACAGAAAGTTTGCTGATATATACCATAAATAATCTAGTTGAGACTCAATTATGATGTAATTAATCTTTGATATCTATGACAAGTACTTCCTGAAACCTTTGAAGAAATACAAATTGGAAAATAGAAATATTAGCCTTTTCTCTTTCCAGATTCATGTTTATATTGAAAGTTGTTTATATGTAATTTTTGAAATCAGATTAACCATTTGCTCATTTTCTTTTTTTTTTTTTTTTAAATTTTTTTTATTTATTTATGATAGTCACAGAGAGAGAGAGAGAGAGAGAGAGAGGCAGAGACATAGGCAGAGGGAGAAGCAGGCTCCATGCACCGGGAGCCCGATGTGGGATTCGATCCCGGGTCTCCAGGATCGCGCCCTGGGCCAAAGGCAGGCGCCAAACCGCTGCGCCACCCAGGGATCCCCCATTTGCTCATTTTCATTAATGTTTTAGTTTTCTCTTAATGACCATTTATCACTTAACAAAGGATAATCATAGAACAGAATCGAGATCAATTATAAAGGATAATAAATAAAGCAAAATTGAGATCCAAATAAATGCTAAGTGGTTAACTTAAACCTCATGCTTTTGCATGTCAGACCTGGCACACCTACCAAAACATGATTCAAATTCACTCATCAGCAAAATGATAAATCCCTCTACATTTTGTACTTGTAAGGGCAATCATATACATTATTTATAGCTGTAATGCTAAATTCATGTGGAAAGGACTTAGTATAACCTTTGATAAGAAAATTTTATTTTCATTTTTAAAAACTTGTTAGGGAAGTGTAATATTAGACTAAATACAACTATCTTTAACTGTATCCTCTTGAAAGATGTTAATTTAAAACATTCAGATTTCATTTGTTTCTCCTTAAAGTAGTAATTCTTCACCTTGCAGTGCCTAAAAAAAAAATCGTATGAGTATCACATAGAAATTGCATGCACTCTGTTGTGTTGATTGTTTTGAATTACAAATTAGGTAACTTGCCTACACTGTTATTTTCTTCTTTATCATATGTAGTTCTTTGGAACAAAAGAAGGAGATTCTATATATCACCTTGGAATCTAAACTTTGTTCTTTTACAAAAGTTCCGAGTAATCTACTAATCTGAATGTTTAATTTTCATTTATCTTTTCATTTTAAATTATTGAGTTTAATAAATTAATGAAATTTATAGGAATTTAAATTGAATCTTCTTTGCAAACTGCTGTAATTAGCTCTTAGTCTGATTTCATCTAAATGGACAACATTAAGGTATTTCTTATTACATATGGCTTCCTTAAAAATGATCTTTTGCCAGCCAGTAACTGATAGTTAAATGCTACTGATGTTTTTCAAGTACTTTTATGTGATCAGAAGTGAGTGTAAGAATTTTGTTATCTTATCCTTTTCACTATGTATTTTAATTGATTAAAACAGAAATGATCATCATAGTTTTTGTAGAACAAACTTTTATGAAGCAAGATATTTGAAAACTTTATTTATTTTGGGAGAAATGTAAATCCAAGTGGACATTACTAGTTTGAGATATATGAACTATATATAATTCACAAGTACTATATCATCCTGTTTATTTATACCATGTAAATATGTGTAGAAAGAGATTTTTGTTCTATATTTTTTTTCCTATTAAAAGTGCAGTGTTCTAAATTTCTCTCAATGTAGCAATTCCATTGAGCTGTGGAGTTTGAAACAATTTTGTAATCCATTAAGTTTCTCTATGTTTTCCAAGTATCCTTTTTTCATGATAAATGTTAAATTGTAGGAGCCCAGATTTATGGAGTGGGAGAGGGGAGAATGTGAGAAATGGGGTGGGAGAGGGGAGAATGTGAGAAAATCGGAACTTATATATCTAAACTTTTGAATACAATTTTAAACTAATGGAGCCATTTCTAAAATCTACATCGTTTTACTAATATCCATTACATATTTTCATTTAATTACCAAATTTAATGGTTGCCTAAATTATGTTGTAGACATTTTCTAAGATATGTCATTTAGAGCTTCTTTACCTTTCATGTATTTGTTCAGTTTACCAACATCAAAAAACATTTCAGTTAGCCCTATGACTCTTCTAAGACAAAAATGCATTCATGAAACAAGTTTAATTTCTTAGTCTTTAAATTGAATAATTCTATATATGACTATAACACTAGTCAGCTAAAAATGTGGTCCAGTTTTGGCCAGCCTTTCTATATGGTGTATTTGTTTTAACAAATAGCAGCAGGAGATTTTCAGTTCAAATTTAGTGGTCATTATTTGTCTTTGCTTTTGAGGGAGCATAGTCAAACTTTGTAATAAAAATACTTGCCTTGTTTTATTTGTGATGAAGTCCAAAAAACTGGAGGAAATACAGTTTTTGGTAAGAATTGAAAGTCCAGGAATAAATATAATGATGAGAAGTAGTGCTTCTATCACTAGGGAACTTTCCTCATCTAAGCACATATGAACAATTGATCCTTGTAGTCATATATAGCAGTAAACATTAATAACTTAACAGTCTGAAGTCAGTGCAGAAGATATGGAGCATTATTGAAAGATGGAGTCGAGCAGGTGGCACTTTAATATGTTCAGTGTCATGGTTGACTCTAAAGACTAGTCGAATGAAATTACTTGAGGTTCTAAAGATTTAAAAAGCGAACTCATTTTGCTGCACTAAGGAAATGCTACTGATCAGGCTTTCTGTGTCCCTTTTTTCTAGGCTAGAAAATATTAACCCTGAAGAAAATGACATGGTAAGCCATTCTCTGAGGAGATTTCTTGATGTCAGTCTTATATCTTAGAGGCTTAAGTTCAATTGAGTGGGTTTCAAGAACTAAGATGTGGGAAAAAGAAGAATTGACACACTAATAATGTACATCTTTGCTGCAATATGAAAATTCAATAACTTCACTCAGTCAATTTACAATTCACATGTGCCTATTAATTAAAACCCTATATTAAATAAAATATATTAAAACTTCATGTCTGACTAACATATAATGGTGTTGGTAGACATTACAGGAATTACTGAACAGAATAAACAATGCAGACACAGGAATAGCTATTCAGAGGAATGGAGCTGTAATTGTGGATAGAATCTACAAGACCAAGGAATGTAGAAAGAGAATAACTGCAGAAGAAATGAATGCAGTGATAGAAGAGCGGGATGCTGCTTTGTCTCAGGTAACTGCATGGATCCGTAAAAGCATTTTCCCCCATTTCTTTTCTATTAAAAAATGACTTTTCCCCCACATAGTCTTAATTCAAATTAGTTTTTAGCATATGATTAATAGCACAATGATTAGATATGGTAAAATAGTCACAAATTTTGTTAGACCATTCTTCAAATACATGCATCCTCATTTCTTAATGAAACTGTTAGGTTATAAAAATTTAGTTATATCCAAAAAAAAAGAATTTAGTTATATTCTTTAAAGTAATCACTTTTATATGAGATATCTTACTTGAGTCTCAGTTTTGTGAGGGCTGAGATTATGTCTTTATTATTGTTTTATTCCCAGTGCCTAATTCAGTGCCTTTTAGTAAACATTGATAAATGAACCAAATTATTAGTGTATTCTCTTCTGAACAGTACTTACACCTTCCTGCTCTAACTGAATCCTGATTACTTCCCTGAGGATGCTGCTTCTACTGCAGTCCTCTCAAGTAGTGATTGTATTCCCTCCCACAGCACTAATACGAGTGGGCTAGAGGCTTGTTCTTCCGCATTAAGTGTTTTTACATCATTGTTCCTTTTTCCTCTCTAAATACCTCTAGCTTTGAAGCTCATGCATCAGATTGTACCACCCACTAGGCACTCCTGTTACAGTCCTATACACACTCTCATGTTGCTTCCCTTATTTCATGAAGATCTTAGGATCTATTTCACTGTTTCTTTAGCCCACTCTTGTGGTTTTGAATTATGAAAAACATAATTCTTGGTGATTTAAATATCTATACAGATGATTCTTCCACTCTTCTGGCCTCTCATCTTCTTGAATTTCTCTCTCATCATCGCGTGTTCTGCTGTTGGTGTTCCACCCTATGGTCATATCCTATTCCTTACCAGCACTTATTATCTTTCCAGCACACTTAGCTCCAGAATTCTGACTTGCAAATTTTCAACTTCTCTGGCACCTATTTCTATTAATTTTACCACTTATTTACCTATTCCCTCAGGCCGTCCGATGTTCCCACTTCCCTCTTCACCTAGCTTAGATTCCAGTTATCACCAATTTACATATAATATATCAGTTCTCTTGGCTTTTTGTCCTACTCACCAAGCAAAAACTAAGCTTTATAAATTTAACTTTCTGCCTGTTCTGCACCTTCGCAGCTTTACATGGCAGAAGAATATCACACAGATTTGCCAGCTAACCCTTAAATTCATGACCAAAAAATAATAATAATAATAAAATAAAATAAAAAATTCCTGACCATTGTCTTTAAGTAGGCCCATAGTGTTGCCCAGCATTTTTCTGGCCTTTTGTTAGTCCATTCAACTCTCCCCTTTAAAGGACTATTTTATCTCCCTTCTTTCTCCTTAAATACCCAACCTCTCCTCTCCAATATAAAAAAGAACTTCCGTGGGCAACCCGGGTGGCTCAGCGGTTTAGCGCCGCCTTCACCCCAGGGCTGGATCCTGGAGACCCAGGATCGACCCGCATCAGGCTCCCTGTGTGGAGCCTGCTCCTCCCTCTGCCTGTGTCTCTGCCACTCTCTCTCCCTCTCTGTGTGTCTGTCATGAATAAATAAATAAAATCTTTCTGCTTTTCCCACACCATTTCATCCACCAGGCTACCTGCATTTGTACCCTTGTACTCTGCCTTTTGTATTGTATTTATTACTTAGTACACACCCTTGTTTAAGGACAACAAATCTCTGTACTAGTTCTTGTCTTTTCTTGCTTGCTTAACATGATCACTTAAATCATTTGCCCTTGCCCTTTTTCTCTCCTACTTCATAAAATGTTTCCTAGTGGTTCCTTTTATCTACAATGCTTTACTGGGATCCCTGGGTGGCGCAGCGGTTTAGCATCTGCCTTTGGCCCAGGGCGCGATCCTGGAGACCCTGGATCGAGTCCCACATCGGGCTCCCGGTGCATGGAGCCTGCTTCTCCCTCTGCCTGTGTCTCTGCCTCTCTCTCTCTCTTTCTGTGTGTGACTATCATAAATAAATAAAAATTTAAAAAATAAAATAAAATAAAATGCTTTACTATCTCCCATGGAGGCTGGATAGAAGTTTTGGTAAGGCGTGGCTTACATGTAGCTCAGCCTGGTACTTTTGGTAAGGCTTCCCAAACAGCTGATACTCAGTAGGACCCTATTCCTGGCAAAGCTCATACTCTAGTGTTTATGACCTCAGCATTGTAAGACTGTGGAAAACTCCATTAGGCTTTTCAGTGTTAGGGCTTAGCTTTTTCATTTCAAGCCCTTACAGGTTTGGGATTTATCAAATGATTTGAGGCAGAAACAAGTCTCAAATCTCCAGTTTTTTTCACTTCAACCCTGTGCAACTCCCAAAAGCTTCAATGATTTCTCTGTGCTCCAATATGAGCCCTCTGTGTAGTCAGAGCCTGGCTTCCCAGCCCCTTTCCCAGACCTGGAATCTTTAACCTAAAGGGCAAAATATTTGCTGCAGATCTGCAAACCACTCTCTTAAGAATCTTAGCTACTCAAGTCATTCTTGGACCTGTGGCCTTCTGAGATCTCTAAACTGGATTTTTAAATTTCTTGTTTTTTGGCTGGAGCACTGTTTTGCCACAAATGATTTCATCCTGTCTGGATTTGGAGAACTGACACTTACCCTCAAGGTAGATTTGGAAAAAGTCCAGAAATTTCGAAAATGAGCAACCTTTTTTCCATGTTGTGTCCTACCAGCAGTATGCAATCTTGAGTCATTCAGTATATAGTTGAAGAGATAACCAAAGCTGTTTTTAGTGCTTGGAAACAATTATAGTGTGAACTCAAACATTTGATTTTTTTAATTATTCTTTTTCTTAACAAAATAAACACATAGAGCATAATTAAATATTGACTTCTACCTATTCCTTCTTTTTCTCTTTCCTTTGCCCCCTGCCTTTACGTAAAGATAAAGAAATCAACTTTGGGCAATATTTTGTTTATAATTGGGCATGTCTTTGTTTATAAATAGATATTATCCATCATTACAGTATATTTATATTTATCCATTAATGTATTTATTATGTTTTATGAAGAAGTAGTGGTTTATTTTAATTATTTTAATGTGCATAGTTTTCAAGCTCTCTGGCCTAAATAGTATTCATTTTAATTTTTATGTCATAATCATTCTGAAAATGAACTTTTGAATTACTGTTTATAATTCTGAATGGAAACTTTTTTTCCTTAATTTTTTAAAATAAACTTTTTATTTTGGCACGGTTTTAGATTTGTAGGAATGTTTCAAAGGTAGTACAGTATGGAGTTCCCATATACCTTGAACCTAGTTTTGGTTTGCCCTGCTTTGCCATTGCTCATTACTGTGGTAAGTTTGTCAAAATTAAGAAACCCGCATTGGTAGATTACTGTTAACTCCAGACATTATTCAGATTTTACCAGTTTCTTATTAAAGTCCTGTTCAAGATTCAGTCTAAAGTACCACATTTCATTTAGTTGTCAGATCTCTCCAGCCTCCTCTGGTCTATAACAACTTAGTACTCCTTTTTTTTTTTTTTTTTTTTTTAATTAAGACCTTGATGGTTTTGAGGATATTTGCCAGATATTCTCTGGAATGTCTCTGATTTTGGATTTATCTGATGATTTTCTTATAATTAGGCTAAGATTTTGAGTTTTTGGAAAGAATTCCACAGAAATTTGACCTTCATTTTATTTTATTTACTATTTCTTAAAGATTTTATTTATTTATTCATGAGGGACAGAGAGAGAGAGACAGAGACACAGGCAGAGGGAGAAACAGGCTCCATGCAGTCCCCAATGCAGGACTTGATGCTAGGGCCCCAGGATCATGCCCCGAGCTGAAGGCAGATGCTCAATCGCTGAGCCACCAGGTGCCCCTGACCTTAATTTTAGAGCTGTTATTTGTCATCAGATAGTTTCTAATTATACTATATCTTTTGTGTATGCCACGGTTACCTTAGCCCAATTCTTTGTAGCTATTAGAAATCTTTGGATTTAGTGAGAATTTTTTGATTTTGATATATTTGCTGATTTATTTTGTTTCTCAAATCAAGTTACAATTTATTTACTTGAAACTGGCCTTGTTAAAATCTTATCTTTTTCTGATGAATCCTAATATTCTTTTTATTCAAATTCTTCTCTCATAGCTTTTCTATCTCAAGCTGAGAAATGAGCACCTTAAATCTTCTATAGGATGAATTAAAATTTGTGTAATTAGCATTTGTTTGATTAAAGAATTGTCTTACCAACGTCTTTCATTCTTTCTTATCATTTTTTGGCCCATTAATGCTTATATAGTTTATTTAAATTACAGAACTTGTTGGTATTATGGGATAATGCTAGAAACTTCCATTTCTTCACTAATTTTTCTGGGATCTTAAGTTTCATAGAACCCTAGAAGCTATCTAGTTAAACTACCCACAAAATTGAGGAATCTTATCCATGACTAATTTTCAACTTAGTTAAGTATCCATTTCCTCTTAATGTTTTACTTTTGGTTCTTATATTGGCCTCAGAACATTGAGTGATAAATTATATTACATCAGATATATTTTAATGTTTACATAAGCAATAATGTCCTAATTTGTATAGCTAATCTTTGAGGCACAAGTGGATCCAGGCCAGATACCAGTAAGCAACAGAAGAATAAAACTGGTCAAGATTGGCAATTCATTAGCTTTGAGACCTGTCTTTATTATAAGCTACAGTAATTCAGATAATCATTTGTATTCGTTTGGGTTCTCCAGGAAAATAGAACCAATAAGATATATATAAACAGATTTGCTATAAAGAATTGGCTCATGTGTTTATAGAAGCTGAGGAGTTCAAGATCTTTGGTCAGTAAGCTAGCTACCTAGGAGAACTAATGGTATAGTTCAGTCTGAGTCTGAAGGCCTGAGAAAACAGAAGAACTGATGATGTAAGTTCTAGTCCAAGTCCAAGTCTGAAAGTTAGAGAAGACCAATGTCTCAGTTTAAAGACAGAAGTAATTCTTACTCAATCTTTTATTCTGTTTAGGCCTCCAAA